ATAACAACAAACGGCAACAATGCGACGAGGCAACGGGGCAACGTGCCAGCGTGCCAGCGTGGAACAACAAAGGCATGCAAGTATTAAACTATGCAGGTTAATTTGACTAGAAACGCCGTTTGCCATGCTGCTGCTTGTCAGGCTATTGTTGCTGTTGCTAGATGAAGGCACCCGCGGGCAACTTGGACACAAAGTTGGCCCAGGCATGTCGCCTGGCCCCTTTTATAATGCTGCAGTTAAAATGCGAACAAAAGACAATGGACAAGACACTAGCAGCATGGCCGTAATATATGTACACACATACACACACACACACTCTCACACTCGGCGCACATATTTGCAACATACATGCAACAGATTCTCGAGTCGAGTTGCTAATGGGAGGCCCGGTCTGTGCACGAAGTTCTTTTCCACTTTGAATGCGGCCTCTTTAAAGTGCAACGTTGCGTATGCGCAATTATTAAATGCTGCATGCGACGCAGCGCTGCGCAGCGCCTGCCATTAACTCTGATTGTAAATGTGAATGCAATTTTCAATGTAATTGCTCAAAAGCCATTTGACACGATTTTGTCAGAGTGTTGATGCCATTCCAATTTGCTAAAGCAATAAAAAGCACAACACAAATTAAACAGCAAAGGAAGAGACTAAAGAGCGAGCAAAGGGCAAAAGCAATGAAATTTTTTTAAAGGAGTGCAAGACTTTACAATTATTACTATTAAATGAAATGACCGACCTCTTTAAAAAGAAACTTTTTGATTTACTGCATGCAGAAGATTCACATCGAGACTGAAAAAAACTAAATTTAATTATCTCTATAAAAAAACTCTTTCTCACTTATAAAATCGTTCTCTTGCTCTGTCTTATTCATATACATATATATTTGTTTGCGCAATCTAGCTTTAAGAATTCCTATCAGCGACATTTTCTACTTCTCTTTTCGTTTGGCCATAACTTGTAGGCGCAGAGAATCTATTACCGCAACTACGATTAAGTATTCTGGCCATTTAGCAGTGGTGCCTCAAACGCCAGCGTAACCCTTTGCAATCCCCAATTTTACATATTTTTAAATATTTCTCACCCGTTCCCAGTGGCAAAGCACGAAAATCCGATAAAAGCCTTGTCAAGCCGCCGTCAAGCGACAAAAAAAAAAAAAAAAATTGTAGAGGCACAAAATATAATAAAAGAATTAAAACAAAAAAGAAAGAAAAAGTAGAGCATGCGGCACAACATCCGTAGCTGCAGAGCCGAGCAGCAAGGGTTGATTGCTGCCCATGTCCAGCAAACAAAAACTGCTCCGCCGCCCCTTTAACCACCTCCTGGCAACACCCGCAACCCCTATGGCCATAGGGTAAACCTTTGACGCTTCATCGTTTGCCGGAATTCAGTTACTGTTGCTGTTGCTGTTTTTGATGTTGTTGTTGTTGTTGCTGGTGCTGCACACTAATTTCATTTTTTTACACAAATCGAGAAGAGTTCTCGTATTTCGTTATCGACTTTTGTTTGTTAACGCTTAGCTTGCCGATTTTCGAGTTACTCGCAGCTAGATCGAATTTCGTTTCGTTCTTCCTCTTTTTATACCCTGAACCCATTGAAAATGGGAAATCAGGGTATAATGGTTTTGTGAAAAGTATGTAACAGGCAGAAGGAATCATCGCAGACCCCATAAAGTATATATATTCTTGATCAGCACGACGAGCTGAGTCGATATAGCCCTGTCCGTCTGTCCGTCCGTCCGTCCGTCCGTCCGTCCGTCCGNGAACATTTTTAGACCTGGAGACTTCAAATTTGCGTTGTATATAAAGTTAGTAGATACAAAGATTTTGTAATTTACAGATTTTGGATACCACGCCCCCTTCGCCCCAAATTTGTAAAAAACGCATTTCAAGTACTAGAGACTTGTGCTTTGGAATGGACACACATTTTAGCTACATGATTACGCTCTAAAAGTTTTATTAGGATCGTATGTCTACAAAAGAAATTATTCAACAAATAAATTCTCACACTGCAGTGCAGCCCAAGCGCAGCCGCTGCTAACTGCGCAGTTTGCAGAGCGCGTGCTTATACGTGCATGTGTATGTATGTGTGCATAATAGAAGTCCAGAATGATTAGAATATCAGTTTGGAGGGTTCAGGGTATCTCCTAGTCGAGCAGTCTCGACTGGAGCCTTCTTACTTGTTTTTCAACTGTTTTTTTGTTTTTTTGTTTTTTTTTTTTGCTTTTTTGTTTTGCAGTTGCATCGAAAACAATTTTTGATGGTTGTGCAACGCGTTGCGGCATTTGCATTCAACGACAATTTATGCAAATCGAATTGTCAGCCAAGCATTGCATATTGAATTAGCTGAAGAGCCGTTGAGCAGGAGTAGCAGCAGCAGGAGCTGGAGCAGCATTGGCAATGCCAGTGGCAAGGGAGGCAAGACAAAATTGTGGCCAATTGGCGGACGATTTGTTAATTATGCGACCCACATTTACATGTAAAGAAGCAAATTTAATTCCATTTCTATTACTTTTGGCACACAAAAAAAAATCTGAAAAAGAAAAAATGTAGAATCGAAATATGAATGGGTTGGCCGAATGGCCGGTCAGCCAGAAGGCCGAGCCAGCGAGTGCGCTGGACGTGGCCGACAAAACGAACAATAGACCGTAAAATAAGTGCAAAAGCAGGAGGCAGTCGAGGCAGTCGAGCAGGCAGCATAAAAAGAAAACTGAAAAACTTTGAGAGAGCGCAGAAAATTCAGCGAAATGAAAAATGAACAAAGTGCCCTAATGGCAAAGCGTGCTCAACGTTTGAGACGAAAGCTGCAGGCAACACACAATGAACAGCATGTTCCTGTTTAAAAAAAGAAAAAAAGAAAGAAGATGAAAATTGTCGGCCGAGGTAGGTAATAAATGCGAGAGGGAGAGAGAGAGAGAGAGAGACGAGGAGGGAGAGGGCAAAGAAAACTCAGCATCAATTGAACAGTTAAACTTCCATTAATTGTGCGCCAGCAGGAGGCGTAGAAGCTGAAGCTGAAGCAGGAGCAGGAACATGACTAGGTCACAGGATGCCAGTGAGCTGTGCCAACTGTGTCAGTCTCAAATTTCAAATGCATGAGATGCCTGCGTAAACAGGTCAGCCCCAAAACCGTTGGCTAGTTATTTGAGCTGGCCAATTGTAAATTACGCTTGAGGAGAGCTGCGGTGGACGGTGCGAGGGAGCACAGAGGGGATGGCGCTGCTGCAAGCAGACGGCATTCAATTACATGATTGTGTCATTAGTGGATCCAAGCGAAATTAACCAACATTTGGGCAGCTAATTGGTTGCCTAAATGGCCCAAGCAGCTCGTGTGGAAATCCGTGGAGCCAATTCCCTTACGTGTCCCACAGCAAGCCCACCCACCACCCGCTTCAATGAAGCGCGCCGCGTAAAGTGTCGCCAGTCACACTTCATAGAAGACTGTCTCAAATTTTCCATTTAACAAATTAGCAGGCTGACAACAAGAGAAAATATCAAGTGAAAATTAAAAAAAAAAAAAAAAAAAAAAATAGAAGATAAAAAAACATCAAGCATCAGCAAATTGCGAACCACTGTGACACAAGGGGCATCCACCGAGCCGAGTGGCGCAATGACACCGAAATTAGTATTAAGCTGAAAGTAATGATAGGCCGGATGAGAAATGCCAGCTGTCCGTAGAGAAACACTCTTGGTCACAACAAAATGCCATCCATTCAAGCTAGAATCCTCTGACAAATATTTCAAACTTAAGCAAAAAAAAAAAAAAAAAAAAAAAAAAAAAAAAAAACAAAGAAAGAAATCAATTTTATAAAGGAAAAATAAAAAATAAAAAAAAAACTACTGCTATTTTTGAAGAGTTAACACCGATTCCAAAGTTCATCAACCAAGTCCCAAAAGAAAACCTAGTTTATTCGATTCTTTATTATGAGCGTTAGCTATAGTATTGATGTATTATTAGATTAAAACAGTTATATGTATATACTAACCAACTAGTTCAGCAAAATACATATATACTCTTTTTTATTTTATTTTATTATCCTCTAAAAAAAAAAATAACAGCCAAGGCAAAAATTAAAGCGCATTTGTTATGGCGTTTTAACATTTTTTTAAACAGCCATAGGAAAAATAATAAAAAATAAAAATAAAAACCAATACGTAAAAAAAGAAGAGACCGGAGCACAAGTGTGAACGGGCGAACATAAATCATTTTCCGGAAAATGAAAAGCTTTGCGCAACAAGTCGACGAAACAATAAAAATCTGCTTTAGAAGGGGCGAACGAATGAAGTTTACTAAAAGCAAGGCAGCGAGGAGTCAGAGCAGAGCTGGGAGAGGGAACGGGTAGGGGAGCGACTAGGTGCCATCGAGCGGCTGACCGACCGAAAAGAAATATATGTTAAATTAATATATATTAGAATTAATGGCTCTTTTCGAGGGTGCAACCACGAGCTGCTGCAAGGGGGCTGAACGTGGCAGCTTTGAATGAAAGATGGGGACTTCAAATGGAAATACTTCTAGCTGCGCGATTGTCCATTAAAATGGGGAAAACTTTGCGCATTTTAAATATCGTATGGGAAGCTTAAAGCTGAAAGAAGAACTTAAAGCGGAGTTCTAGATGAGATATTGGCCAACCATCAATTAAATAACAAAAAAAAAATTCTGTGCATTTTCTTTTTTTTATATATATAAATATTTAAAATAAATCAATTAAACATTGAACAATCAATTTTACAACACCAAATCTGATGTTTAATGATTTTAGCAATCATTTGTTAGCATTATGAATATTTTTTTCCTAGTAACCTGACAGAGCAGGTCATTTGTGGTTCGCTCTGACGTTATGTGAGATCCAACATGATTTATGTGGCCAGCATGCAGAAGTGCGGAAAAAACCTTTGAAGCAATACAACCATACAGTGCTCAGCGTAAGTATGGGTATAGCCACAAATATCGTTTTCATTTAAAAATTGCAAAATTTGTAGATTTTTGCGGTAAACGAATTTATTTTTAATCAAACTAAAACCACCAGCTAAATACACAAATAGAGCTATAAAGTATTTTTTGACTTCTAGAAATTTAATCAAAGCCAGCGCAGCTTTATGGTAAGAAGTAATGCTATTCAAAGAGAAAGAAAGAAAAACTGTTTAGCTAAACAGAAATCTTAGGCTTCATGTGCCAACTTACCTTAGGATCGGCCTTCTTCCAGCACTGATGGAACCACCAGGCCTTGTGGCACAGCGTATCGCCTATGGGGTGTATGCATTCCTGGGACATGGCCATCAGATTGTCTCGTATGGAGTGCGGCACCGAGCTGAACAGCTTCTCCAGATGCACGTCGCCATCGTCGTCGACCACTTCGAACTCGTGGAACAAACAATTCATGTAGCACTTGAGCTTCTCATCGTCATGGATTTCTCCATCACTGAACTCCTTGATCGCAGCTGTAAATTGTTGCAAGCGTTGCAATTAACATTATTATTATTATTATTTTTTTTTTTCATTTTTTTTTTTTTTCTTTTTTGTTTTTTGTTTTTTGTTTCTGAGCTGCCAGACAGATGGCTGGGCCGGACTCACCCTCGCTGACGCCGGTTTGCTCCACACAGGCGTCGTGGAAGAGCTTGGCCATTTTGAGTACGTTCCTCGGTGGATACTGCAATTAAAAATGTGCTGCTTAAGTAGGCGTGGCGCAGCTCAGCTCGGTTTATTAACTCACGTCCTCGTCACGCTGCGCCAGAGCCGGCGACAGCAGCGCCTCGCTGAACACCAGCGACAAGGCGATTAACAGGCAGGCTGCGACAGGACGACGTCCGCGATTTCGGCCAAAGTCACTCAAAGCCATTTCCATGCAGACTCTCTGTGAAACAGCAGAAATTGTTGTTTGTACGCTCGCTCGGCCTTGTTTGCGAGTTGTGAAAGGCGGAACAAAAGCGACGATGCATAAAAACAAAAACAGCGCAACATCAAAAACAAAACAACAACAAAAAAGTAAAAATACAAAAGAGACATACACTTTGAAAGGGTCACGTTGGTAACACACTATACGGAGTGCAGCTAATGAATATTCTCTTAAGTAAAGATACAACTAACTCTTGGTGCTGCAGTGCTTCAAGCATGAGCTTGGAAAATGATCTGACATGGGAATATAAGATCTGACTGAACTTTGTATAGTCTAATTCAATAGACTTCAAAAGTTTAGTTAAGACGCTCAATAGAGAATGGTTTAGAGCTCTTAGCTACATCGAGAGTATTAACATGAACATGAAAATAAACTAATGTGTTCAAATTAAGAAGAAACAACGAATCAGCATTGGTTTCGTGCACATTCGAGCCCACAAAGCTCAAGCACCCGCTACTATAGGGCATACAATGCGAGAGGGAGCCACATGCAGAATGGAAATGGATGTTGAGCTGGCAGAGACGACAACGTGCCACGCGTGACAGCTGGACAATGACAATGTATGTATATATACATATTTCTGTGTATGTGTGAGGGTTTTTCTAAGTGCGCTTTTTTGTAATTTTTATTTCAGGAAGCCAGGCAAGAGGTTCGGGCAGCGCGTGGAGAGTGGGTTTAGGAGGCTGACAGAAGTGAAACCAACAAAAAATCATTTGTTTCTTGCTAGCTGAGCTCAGCTCACGCTAAATTAATTCTAACCGCTGGCTGAACAAAACAAAAAACCAGAAGAGAAAAAAAAACCTTGCCAAACGGAAACGGAAATGTGGCCGAGACGTCAGGGCTTCAGCGCTGTTGTCAACGTTCCTTTCTTTCAATGCACAATCGTTGTGTTAATTTTGACAACCAGATGCCCACGTGCGTTGCCACGCCCTGCCGCCTGCCAAGCCATATATATGCATATACATATAAATGTAGAGGCGAGTTGTATGAAATTTGCCATTTGCTGGATCATTTTTTTGTTTTTTGTTTTTTAACACAAAATACAATAGAAAGACGTCAACTTGTGCACAACTGTCACTTTTGTTTTATCAAATGTCAACGCAACAACCGAAACAAAGCCACAAAACGACGCAGGCACACATACACTCACGCAAACAATCATAAAGAACGAATGAATTTACAATAACAGCAACAGTTATGGAGCTGTGCGTGTGTGTGTGTGTGTGTGTGTGTGTGCCCCACAGTTGGCCCTGGCAGCAACGATGGATGGTTTTTTAATTGCCATTTCAATTTTCGTTATGCGAATTGCCGTTGACGCGTTTTTTACTACTTTTGTTGCTCCCGTTGTTGCTGCTGCTGTTATTTACCTACGCTCGTTCCCTTTTAAACTATCAACAGGACGAAAAAAAAGTGTTTCAACACACGCGATACACCAACTGTCTGACAACCGCTCTCGGAATTGAATTGGCTTCGTAGCCATTTCTAACGGCCTGTTTTATATCGATTTCAGGCAAGTTTTGCGCATTAAGTGATTCGGCATTAAATTTCTATAATTTAGTACTTAATCAATGTCCATATTTATCTAAGTTGCTTGTCATCGGCTTCCCTATGCACCACTTGAAATGAGTATATACTTTTGCAATTTGCATGCGACTGCAACTGTTCACCCAACACTCCCAGTTGCGTGCTCGCAATTGCTAGTTGTACAAGAGCAGAAAAACAAATATATATGCATATATAATACAGACCTGGCCTCCATAAGAAAATGACATTTTTTTGCGGGTCAAGGTATGAGACATGCATATGTAAATAATTTTTCAAATTGTTTAATTGACTTTTCTGGCATTCGCAAATAACTCTATTTGGCGCCGAGCTCGCAATCAGCGTGAAAGGGCTTAAAATGGTCAAGACTTTAAACTTGGAATTAAGCTATTCAGCTCGTATAGTTGCTAGTATACAAATATCATCGGGGAATATGAATGGGAAATATATAATGAAACAAAAAAATATATTAAACTCTCCATTTTTGTTATTGTATGTCAACAACTGTGCTTCGCATTCGTTCAATATGTTTCAAAGGTTTGGTTTTTTATTGCAACGCTATATTTGGGGAAAACGAAAATTGTAATATTTTATTACCTTTGCCCGTAACTAGCTGTTTGGCAATCGAATTTGAATTCCTAGTTTGGTTGCAATGACAACAGCAATTGCATTCAAATTGCCAGGTATGTGAAATGAGCAAATGAATGCATACATCAAGCGCTGCAGATCCCAATACAATGACAAAATGCCAAATGAAAGACCGGAAGCACATAAATTGAACGGTGATTGTCACAGGTAGCAACGCCCTATGCTACCGATATGGCCATTGGTCATTTGTATGTTACGTACGCCGGCCATTCAGATTTATTGCGTACTCCGAAGGTAATTCTGTTAGCCGAACAGATCTAATGAAAAAGTAACGTGTCCAAATTACAGAGCGGCATTTGATTACAGTTAAACGAAAATAAAGCTAATTCTAAATAGTACAAAAGTATTTCTATTCATATAAATATGTATGACAATCATCATTCAAAGTTTTATAAATTTTCACAAATTTTAAAATTATTTTCTTACATTTTTGGTTGATAGAAATTCGCAGATAGATATTTCTTATTTACTATTTTTTAATGAAACACAGCATTAATATAAATTTTATGATATTGACACAGTTACGGTCTTCCAAAGATAAAATGAAATATGAAAAAAAACGAGTAAAAAAGTTCAAGAATTTTTTGAAGGATTATAGGTGTTGCTTACCAACAACCAGTAGGAGATTAGTTATTCCATTAACATAATGCTGTTAATAAAATAACATGACGATATGAGGGTGGAGCCACTCCTGTTAAAAATCTGTCATTTTAAATAATTAGATATTAATTAGATAAAATATGAACATGTAAGTCATTAAAATTGTGAATACATCTAATTTGCAATTCATAAATTAAATATTTATGTAAATTTAGAAAAAACTGTGAACTCAATTGAACTCGATTCCTTATAGTCTTTCTCTTTAGCACTCGAGAATCCCGTGCACTTGACGATAAAGTTTCATAAATCATATCAATAGCATATCAATCGATGCGTCATTTCCAATAGCAAATGCAATAAAAGTTATATCGAGATGCGTAAAAATAGAGAGAGAAACAGATTGAGAGAGAGAGAGAGAGAGAGAGGAATAGAGAGCTGCAGCAGCAATAAGAGCAAGAGCGTGCGCTATAATTATTTATGCAAGCAGTAAATGCAGTCAGCAGCCGCATATTAATTGTATGACGATGTCATTAATGCTTATCGTTGCATAAAATTATAGATGCGCTCTTTAGATAGCGCTAATTAAATAATTAAATATGCTTTAGGCCATGGCCAGTCAGCGGATTTATGTGCGCCATCCATCAGCAGCGCCAATTATTGCTGTAAATATATCACAATATTCGCATAAAATTCAATTCGCAGTGCCACGCCCCCAAGGCTTCAACTAGCTGCAGCAGCAGCTGTTGCAAAAATAAAAATAAATAAATAAAAACTTTATGCGTAATTTTAAATTCATTTTTATTTATTTATTTTTTTTTATATATTTTTGGAATGCTCGTCAAAATGCTATTTGTATGGAAATGGAAGTGAAATATATATGTGTGTGTGTAACTAAAATACAGGGAATAAAATATAAACATAAATCAAGCGTCTTTGTTGGGCTTAGCTTGGGCGAACGGTCGTCAATGCTTAGATGAGAAAATAATGCTGCAAAAATGTAATTTATTAGCTTTTGCAGCTCCTCGCTAATCAGGTGCAATGGCCCTTACCTTGGGATCCGCCTGCTTCCAGCAGCGATGCAGCCAAAAGGCGCGCTCGCACTTCGTGTCGCCCTTGGGATAGAGGCAACGCTTGCCCATGTTCACCGCAATGTCGTGCATGGAGTCAGGCAGACGGTCGAGCAGCTTCTCCAGGTGCACCTCGCCATCCTCGTGCAGCACATCGGTCTCATCAAACACACAGTACATGTAGCATTTGAGCTTCTCGTCCTCGTGCACCTCCCCATCGCTGAACTCCTTAATTGCCGCTGCAAACACAAGTTGAGAGTCGAGTCGAGAGTGCAGTGACAGATGGCAACAGCTTGTTTGCATTTGTCCGGCATCCAGCTCGGCTCAAGTCTGTTGGCCCAGCTTGTGCTGCTTATTTACCACCTGTACTCACCTTCAGTCACTCCAGTCTTGCCCACACAGCTGTCATGCACGGGCTGCAGCTCCTTAAGCAACTCCGGCGGTGGGTACTATCGCATATAATAGAATAATAACAATAGAATAATAGAAATACCTAACAGAATGCGCTTCAGGCAGATGCTGATTGTTAGTTTTCCACAAATATACAATTCGCATCTAAGCTGAAAACTTATGCTGAAATTCTTGATTATTTTTATACTCTTTTTTTAGAATACCCATAGCTTGATTTTTCACTAGAGACATCTAGTAAAAACTAAAATTTTTTAGTTTATTTTAATGAATATTTTTAATGAAAATATTTATATTCATATTCCTTGAGTGAGAATACGGAAACTCAACTTGTTTGAATATATAAGTTTTAAAAAAAGAAATATTGAGGTATTTCTATAGTCTATTATATGTATATATTCACCTTGCACCAATAATTATTTTGTATATGAGTTTTAAAACTCATATGAATCGACTCATATTTCCATGTATAATTGGTTAATGGAGGAAAGTTCAACATGAATTGAATACTTGTCAAAGAATTGAGCTACATTTGGACACATAAATATGTTATGAAGCTTGAAAGTCGACCACTAAAGGTAGCTACAGTAAATCATCGCTATAGCAGCCTTGGGGCAAGGCATTATAAAGAAGAAGAAATAAGTAAATGCACTCATTTGATGCAGCTTAGAGTCGTCCACCCTACGTGCATTTCTTTCTAGCTGCTCTTCATTATCTCAACTTGTGATTTGGTTTAACTTGTCTTTGCCGACAGCGATCTGGCGCTGCTGCTGCTTACCGTTTCATCGCGTCTCAGCTCGGCTGCCCAGATGCCACGCCCCATCACAGAGCACAGCAGTAAAATGTGGAAAATGTTAATGGTTGCACGCAACGACATGATGCTGCTGTACAGCTGCTGCTGCTGCTGCTGCTGTTGCTGCTGTTGCTGCTGTTGCTGCTGTTGCTGGTGGTCAAGTTGCAACGTGACAACGCCGTTCAAGTCCAAAGTAGCGCTAAGCTGCGGAAGCACGTGAGACGCAGGATATCTGGGATCAAGGATTTAGTGCCACACACACACACACACACATACACAGAGTACGGTCAGCCACTACGGACGTGCAGTCAAGGGTATTAGCCGGCGAAATTGAATGACTTTAGCAGCCAAATGGAACTGCAACAGCAACTGCAACTGATACTGCGACAGAGCCAAGTGGCTAGTGGATGTTTTATATAGCCGCAGCCAGTGTGTGGGGCGAGCTGCTTGATCTGTGTAATTAGCTGTCATTAATTACTATGCTCGGTCCCATAATTAAGCCAGCCGAAACGTGGCCAGCAATTTGTCAATCAAAGAGCACTCGGCGCGAGGCGCGAAAATACATGGCTCAAGCCGGCAATACGCCATGTTGGCCAAGATGGCGACCAGCCGAAATGGGTGCGTGTCATGAGACGCCGGCAACAAGTTAATAACAATAACAACAATAACAACAGAAGCAACACCAACAAAAACAACAACGGCACGCATAGGGCTATTAAATATAATGCGAATGCCAGGTAGCTCCGTCCCGTAACCGCAACCCATCATTTGTTGCCACACGAAACGCGTTAATTACGGGGCCGGTGGACATTGCAATTTTATTTCCCTTATTTCTGTTTTTTTTTTTTTTTTTTTCGCTCCCACATTCATTAATTATTATGCAAGCTAAGCACTGGGCAAAACTTTTGGATGGTTCTCAGTCCCAAGTTTGCTCTCTCTCTCTCTCACACTCTCTCTCTCTCTTGCCCTTCCTCTCTTTCTTTCTCTCCCTCTCTCTCGCTTAGGCATGCAAACGCAACGTGTCAAATTAATTTTTAATAGCCCGGCCCAACCCACCAACTCCTCGAGTCTCGCCAAATAATAGATTTAAACGAGGCGCACAGCAACTTTTTAGGTGGGCGTCCGTCCATGCATTGTAATTAAAGTTTTTGACTTTAGTTTTGGGGGTCACTGGAGCTGCGTACTGGCCTTCAAATAATACGCACAAAGGCGATGCCAAGCTGTAGCAGCAACAGCAGCAGCAGCTAGGCGTCTGTCCTTGTCATTCTCATGTTTGCCATAATTGTGCAATGTGTTGAAGGCATTTAATATGGCAGCAGCAGGAGGGCAAGCTATGTGAGTGTCTGTGTGTGTGTGTGTGTGTATTGACATGTGACACTTGCAAATTAGATGCCGGCAGGCGAACAATGTTGCCTATGATGTTGCATGCCATTGTTGCATACATGTGCAAATGCAGATGCTTAACACACAAATGAGCTGTGTGTGTGTGTGTGTTGCACAACTTATTGACACCTTATTTGCGCTCACAAAACGCACAACTCGTTTTGCGGTTTGCACATGCAATTTACATGTGTAATTTTTCGGCCATACAAAAGTTGCAGCTGCTAACCGCAGTGGCAGCATCAGCAGTAGTCGCAACAGCAACAGCAGCAGCAGCACAACGGCAGTTACATCATTGTCAGCAGCAGGACAAGCCAGGATGACAGAGGACAACTTCGTTAAACGAACTGCAGCATTTGTGCAGCTTGTCAGCTGGTCGCTCCATGCAATGTTGCCCTGCTAAATTTGAATAGCGCGCGTTTGTTGCGACCATTTGTATGGACTCTAGTGGTTTTCTGCTGCCGGACATAATCGATTTACAGTGTTGGCCAGGCCCGTCTACGCATTTCACCAGCATGCAGCCCAACGCCCACGCCCCACAAAAAAATCAAGCCAAAAAAGGCAAAAAAACCTGGAAACTGAGTAGTGTATTGCAAAAGGGATGACACTGCGTGGGCAGGAGGGGAAGCGAGGACCTGTTTACGGCTCCAATGAATTATAATTAATGATTGCGGCCTGGGCGGCGGCTTAGCTTTTAAAATTTATAGCCGGACCAGTCCGACCGACTGCTGGAGCATAATAAATTTAAATTAGCACTAGGCAAATAAAATACGCACAATAAATAACTGTCCAAGGTCAACAATTTTTGGGGCAGCAACTGCGCCGGGTCAAAGGGTATGGCCATTTGATATGAATTTAACATTTTATTGCTCATTATTATGATATATACATACATCTGCATAACCAGGTCAGGCACGGTACGCTGCTCATTTTTGAGTTTGCCATGGCTCAGTTTTTCTCTTTTCTCCATTTTTTTTCTACCTCCGCATTTTGCTTAAAGAGCCGCTCAAAGCAATGCAACTTGCATCATTAACATATTCACAGTCTATTAATTTTCAGCACACACACACACACTCAAGTCTCGAGTCGCTTAAGTCTCGCTGTCGACTGGCTGCCCGTTCAGCCTTTGGCAACATAATTAGAAACTTTTGCACTTAAATGCAAGCTGAGTGCATGCGGCCAGTCGAATGAATGCATTAAGCCAAAGTACAAGCCAAGTACGCGTTAGCAATGTGCCATAATAACTACAACTATATGAGCTGGAACCCACCACGCACTCGCCTCCCCTCCCTTTTATGAGACGCTCTTAGTGCTATGCTTATAATGTTAAGTACTAGCTAGTTACATGAAAGTCGTAATATGAGCAAGATTTTTCTACGTTAAGCTGCAGTGCCAACAAGTCCTTACATATATTGGGGATATCTTAAAAAAAAAAATAAAAATAAAAAAAGCTTACGAAATTCGACAACTACATTACCTTCATTACTGCTTTAGATCATGATTTAAGCTTACACTTATATATCCTTCGAGATTATGTTTTACCCTGGGCATCTATACAACTCGGAAGCTAAAAGCTTTTTGGCCATAAGCCTTACGAATATTATTATATTTATATAATTTCATAACATTGTTATTATTATTNTTACGGGTCTCTCTCTCCCCGTATGGAAGGCTCGAGAACTTTTAATAGTTTTTTTTTGTACCGTTAGCGTTTTAATCAGAGCGACGCAAATCAGAATCACGAAAGCAGCTATGATTGATGGGGGCATTAATATTGATTCTTGATAATCTTGTATATCAGCTAATTATATGAAAATCGTGGTCATTGTCATTGTCATTATCATTGTCATAGTCATAGTCATAGTCATAGTCATTGTCATTGTCATTGTCATTGTCATTGTCATTGTCATTGTCATTGTCATTGTCATTGTCATTGTCATTGTCATTGTCATTGTCATTGTCATTGTCATTGTCATTGTCATTGTCATTGTCATTGTCATTGTCATTGTCATTGTCATTGTCATTGTCATTATCATTGTCATTGTCATTGTCAGTGTCATTGTCATTGTCATTGTCATTGTCATTGTCACTGTCATTGTGTTTGTCATTCATTCTCATTGCCATTGTTATTGTCACTGTCATTGCCATTCTTATTATTATTGTCATCATCATTACGAAAGATAATGTCATACTCAAGTCTTTTCATTATCATTATCAATATTAATATTTAGGTTTTTATTTGTATACTCTATTTTAAAATAAAGTAAGTTAAAGTATTTTTTACCAGAAGCATCCGCTACTCGGCTTTGTGTCGGACAACACGCGCAGTTTGACTAAGAGATTTGAGCTCACAACCCTAATGACAGTTCACTTAGACATTTCATCTCATCAGCCCATTTACCAAGAACTGCAAATAGCCTACAAAAACTTTTCTTTAATTGTTCTTTAGTTTTAGTTTGACTTAACCGAAACTCAACCTGTCAACATAGCGCACATATTGCTGCCAAATATTTGCTGCAGTCTCTCTCTCTCTCTCAGTGCCTACCTCTCTTTTAACTCAGATTGTCTTACTTTTTCAAACTATTCAATCCTTTAATATCTACTGATACGGGCTAAAGTGTGTCAATTAAACAATGCCTGATCAACTGTGGCAATTGTTGGACAGAATCAGTCTACGATAGTTTGTCATGGCTTTAAGATTCTTCCTATCCCACTTGTCACTCAATATAAAATGCGATTGTTTTTTGGTCTATTTATGGCCAAACTAAAATTGATTGAGTGATTTGACCTCGTTTCAGTGCACTGTATATATTTTCTGTGACGACACATACGACGAATTGTTGCAATTTAAATACGCGCACACTTAACTTTATGCATGACCCATAAAATAGGTCATAAATGCATAATATGGCATGTCATTAAAAATTAATTAAGGGTAAAATATGTGCAGATGACTTTTACGAGAGTTTGGCGCGAGTCGTTAAATAGTCGGCAGATAGCCAATGCAATGCATCAAAAATGAATGTCGCATACATACTTACTTATACATATGTAAGTGTGAATACATTTAACTCACAACTTTTTAAACTGTCCTGTTTGAAAATTAAAAGCTCCAGAGCTACAGCTCCACTGTCCAATAGGACAGACGGCAGAGGGCAACTTGGCAGATGGGCAAAGGGTTGCGGCCCCCCGCAGCTATGTCATTGATATTCATGAGCCTTGGGCGTTTGAACTTGACAGTGATTAAGATTTGACTGTCCTAACCAAAACAGAGTAGGAAAAACGAATTAAGATTGCTGCAAGCTTAACTTCACGACTAGCTGCTGCTCTGTAAACGGCAGTGTAGGAGTAAAGGGCATGATAAATGAACATAATGCTTTCGCGATTCGAATATTTTCTTGGGAAATTCAAGATTCCTTTCATTCTAATTTCAAAGCTCTCTTTACTTGGCGCATTCGATTGTGCGCGGCTCATGCAAATTGCGAGTTATTGATACCCCTGCTCGCCTTCAGAGCAGGGCATACTGAAAACGAAAAAAAGGCTGCTGGTATTCGCTTTACAAATGTAAATTAGACCGCCATTTTTTGCGCTGTGGCAGATATTTTAATTTAGTCTGTAAAAATGACACGGCCGCAAACAAAAAGGCGCTGTGATGTTTGCCCTTTGTTTTGTTTGGCCAGGGCCAAGCATCTGGCCATCTTTTGCCTTTTTTGGCTTTCTTTT